ATTATTAGGATTCGTATTATTAGTATTACTATCAATGTTAATAGTAAGATTAATATTCATAGTACTATTAATGCTAATATTATTCCTTTTCTTGATTTTCTTCTCCGTTTTTGTTGCTCGTCTCCTTCTTCGTCGTTTGCCTCGTTGTCGTCCAGCCGCCGTCGTCGTCGTCGTCGTCGTCATCGTCGTCGTCTATGTCGTCTTCGTTGTCTATGTCGTCTTCGTTGTCCATGCCGCCGCCGCCGCCGCCGAGCCCGCAGCCTCTGGAAGGACCGCGCCGCCGCGCGCGACCGCGCAGCCGCGGCCGCGCGCGCCGGGGCCCTGCCCACGGGCAGGGCCCCTGGCCATGGCGCAGGCCCGCCCCCCGCGCGCCCCCTGGCCAGGGGCAGAGCTGCGGCCGCGGTCCTCCTGCTCAAGCGCCGCCTCCGGGTTCTCTGTCCTCGCCTCTCCCGGTGCTGGTTCCGGTCCGCGACGTTATAGGTGTTGCCTCTCGCGGCCCCCACTCACTACTTTTAGTATTCCTGTCTTCATGTCTTCTCTCCTTCTCGTCATCCCCTCGCCGGTGGGACGTGTTGGGTGATCACTGCACCTCCTATGTTCTCCTCCCTCTCCTCCTCCTCCTCACTACCTGCCTCCTCTTCCTCCTCCTCGTCCTCTCCTCCTCCTCCTCCTCCTCGTCCTCCTCCTCCTCGTCCTCGATCCTCCTCCTCTTCCTTCCCGTCCTCCTCCTCCTCCTCCTCCTTCTCCTCCTGCTCGCGTGCCTGTTGGACGAGCCCAAAGCGCCTCCCCCCCCCCGCCCCCCGGCCCAGGGAGGCGTCGCGGGGGCCAGCCTCCCGCTCCTCCTCTCGGGTCAGAGCCTGCATCCTCGGGGCCGAGCCGACGCCTCGGGAGCCTTGCGCGGGACGATCGAGATGGGTGCGGAAGGGTGGGGGTAGGATGCCCAGCAGCAGTTCCTGCCCATTTCGAACAGGACTCGCTGTCCGCGTCGCCGCGGACGTCGTTCGCTGAAGACAGAAAGCCGCCTGCCCAACAGCGGCCGCTGTCGGTTTTGAGCAGTTGGGCACTGTACACATTTTTGTCCGTACCCATTTCGGGCGTCCGAGCTTGAGACGGGGGTTAATGCAAACGCTTGGCATCGCTCGGACGTGTGCACAGCTTGGATTCTCGAACAACCAAAATCACCCTCGAGACCAGAACGTGCACAGGAAATGGATGTCCGAGCAGCGGCAAGAACGGGGGTCAGTCAGAGCGTCGGATCTTGCAGGATCCTGCAGAGCCAGGGGTGCATTGAGCCGGGTTGGCGCGCAGGATCCTGCAGGATCCTGCGAAGACTGACTGCCCAGGGCTTGCATTGACTCGGGTCAGTCGATCTCCGAGCCCCAGGAGTGGACTTGGTATCGCTCGGACGTGTGCACTTGGTCTCGGCTGCGAAGAAGCCACGCACGGAACCGAAGCAACAACACGGGGGATGGGCGTCCTGTCCGAGCGATGGCCAGTGGAGGCTCACGCCATTCCGCCGACCCCCAGGAGAGGGAAGGCATCCACGGGCGAGGCCCTTCGAGGGAGCTGCTCGGGACCTCTGGGAGGAGGAGGAGGAGGAGGAGGAGGAGGAGGAGGAGGGCTGGACCTAAGAGGTGTTTTGGCGAGTTCGTGGGCCGTTTTCGTGTCGACTTCGTTTTGCGGTAGAGGTGAATTGAAGACAAAACGAGGGAAAACGAACACAAAGCGAAAACGAAAAACACCGTTTGGGTTCAGCTCTGCTCTGGGAGCTCCCTGATTGGCCTCTTGGACGCCCTTTGCGGGCCTCTTGGGTTTGTCTTGTGCGCCCGCTGGCGGTCTCGGGGTAATGGCAGGCCCAGGAGCATCAGGAGACTTTTTTACCTCCGACAGGAAGCAGTAGGAAATTACAAGAAATCAATAGGAATGAATAGGAACTCTTCGGAGTCATCAAGAATCAGTTGGAATCAATGCGAATCACCTTGAATCAATAGGAATCAGTAGGAAATTGCAGGAATCGATTGGAATTCATAGGATCATTCGGAAGCAGTAGGAATCCATAGGAATCAGTGGGAATTTATAGGAACCCATGGAAATTTATAGGAAGCGATTCTAATCGTCACTAATCATTATGAATCAATCGGAATCAAGCTCAAGCACTAGGAATCAATAAAATTCAGTACGAATCAATTGTAATCAACAGGAATCAATAGGAATCAGTAGGAACCAAACAGAACACGTAGTTAACAATGGGTGTCACAAGGAGTCGATAGGAATCACTCTGGATTACTTGGTCGCATTATGAAGCAATCGGGGTCGAACATAATCAATACTAAGCTTCCAGAATCAGTGAGACGTATTATGAAACGGTATGAATCAAACCAGTCAAAACCCAATAGGAATCTATACATCCTTCTGATTCTTCCCAGCCCAGACATACCTCGGTCGAGAGCACAGCAAAGTAGACGAGGATAACAACACATACGATAAGGTCGGTCCCCGTTGGGGGTGCCATACACACGCATATATATATATATATATATATATATATATATTCTCATACGCACCTCTCCGAGGGAGTAGAGCTCAGAGGGGATTAATGCGTCCGTGCGTGCGTCTTTGATTGTTCTGGCCGTTTCGCTCGGGACATCCTCGAACTTCTGAAAATCGGTGGCACCCCTCACGCAGATCGTGAAGTGAGAGGTCCAAAAACACATAGGAATTCAACCATTTCAACATCAAACCTTCAAACACACATGGTAATTTCAATAATTTTGACCCCGATTCTCAGAGAATGGCGGTTTCGCCTGAGACATCCTCCCAAAATCGAGCCCCAAACCCCTCCTCGGAGCCTCCTGGGGGCCTCCTGGAACCTCCTGGGGCCTCCTGGGGTTTTCTGGACCTTCTGGTACCCCAGACCCCGCCTCGGAGCCTCCTGGAGTTCTCCTGGGCCTGCTGAGGCCGCCTGGGGCCTCCTGGGGCCTCCTGGGGCTTCAGAACTACATGCACACACAGAGACACACATCACGCCCAACACATCACACGCTAGACAAACATAACAGACACACACACAACACCGACAACACACAAAAAGCACGCACCACACAAAGCACACATCACACACACAACACTCACAATCCTGGGGCCTCCTGGAGCCTCTTCTGGTATCCAAGTCGGGCCTCCTGAGGCTTCCTGGGGGGCCCTGGTACACACATCGCAAGGTGTGGCAACCCCACTTACGCTCGAGTGCGACTTCGCTGTTGCATGTCACTCCTGCTTCAAACGCCCCTTCAGCTTGTTGTATGAGCCTGGGCACACACGTGTCACTTGTATATATATATATACGTTTTTTATTTATATATATATATATATTTATATATGTGTGTGTGCATGCATGTATGCACGTGTATAGTTTTGTATGCATGCATGCACGATGTATGTATGCATGTATGCATTTATGTATGTGTGTATGCACGATACATGCATGCATGCATGTATGTATGTATGTATGTATGTGTGTATGTATGTATGTATGTATGTATATATGTATGTATGCATGTATGTATGTATGTATGTATGTATGTATGTATATATGGCCGGATGGAAGGATGGACGGATGGATGTATGCATGTATGCATGCATGCATGCATGCATGCATGCATGTATGTGTGTATGCATGCATACATATATGCATGCATGCATGCATGCATGCATGCACGCATGTAGGCCGGCAGCTAGGTAGGTCGGTCGGTAGGTAGGTAGGTAGGTAGGTGTGTGTATGTATGTAGGTAGGTCTGCATGTATGCATGTACTTATGTATGTATGCATGCATGCATGCATGTACGTATGTATATATGTATGCATGTATGTATGCATGCATGTATGTATATATGTATGTATGTATGTATGTATGTATGTATGTATGTATGTATGCATGCATGCATGCATGCATGCATGCATGCATGCATGCATGTATGCATGCATGGCATGTATGCATGCATGTCATGCAATGCAGTATGAGCTCAAAACAATGCAGCTGTATGTATGTATGTATGTTAGTGAGAGAGCCGCGTTTCACGGGCGCTTGACTTGGGAAACATCGGCGGGCATTTCGAACGGGGGGTGCCCCAACCCCCCCCCCCCCCCCCCCCCCCCCCCCCCCCCCCAACACTCGGCGCCGTCGATCAAAACCACGGGATTCTCATTTCAGCCACGCACCCAGGGACAATGAATGACCGTTCGGCCGCCTCACTCTGATGTATGTACGTATACAAACATGTATACACATATTTGCGCATTATCATGGGCCTGCTACGAAACGCAAACTATTTGATGCCCCACGAAACTAAAGCGTGCTGTTTATTTTGTAGCATCTTGTACCGTGCGAGAATGGCACCCGCCGTCTGCGACTTTCGTGCTCCAAGACATGGTCTTCAGGTAGCGCTTCTGAACCTCGGCAGTCGCACGCAGAGACGCCTCAGACAAAAACACTCCCACGCCGCGACGAACGAGTTGCCACTGAACGCGAACACGGGGGTGGCGAACAGATATCAGCTCGTAAATCCAATATGCAGACCCCGACGCCCAAATGTGACAAGGGGCCAGCGATTACATCACAGTGCAGACCCTAATTTTAGTCAAGTCTTCATATGAGGTGCTGTTTTTGCTTGCACTCCTTTCATGTGTGAGAGTCGCTACGGGGTGGGCCTGGGGATCATCCGTGCAGGCTTGAGTCGGCAGTGCTGTGTATAAGATTGTTATTGTGACCACCCCTGCTCCTTCACCCATCGAGTATTCCATATCCGCAGGGTTAGGGGTGGGTAAGGATAGGCGGAAGAAGAGGCACATTCTCCGTAGCCCGCTGGCTCAAGCCATCAGGGCAGTCTTCTAGGCTGAGACGCGTCATTTGCCGCAACCGCTCTCAGCCGCTCGCATTTTGACGGCCAATCCGGCGCTTCAGCTCGGGCCTTCTTTGGGTCGCCGTATTCGTGACGACTTGGGCGATGACTTCCCCCAGCGCGGCAGTTGTGTCCCAACGGCTCTGTAATCTACTCATGAGTTTCCCAGAGGCTGCGATCGCTGGCGTCGAGTGGCAGGCGCTCGCGCGGAAGTACAAGGAGCGCCACGCGCAGCAGCTTGACCTGCATGCCCTTGGACATTCGTCCGCACTTGCTGCTGCGAGCACCCTTCTGTGGGACGTCCTCCGCATCGCGAACTCGGACGACACAGATAATCCAATTGTTGCGCTGGAGGACCACGTGGCCTTGACGGCCCAGCCGGGCCTCTTAGGCTGCTGGCCGTCGCTGTACAAGGCTCTTTGCGAAGTCTCTCTCGAGCACGGCGCCGCCGAGAACGGCGCCGCGGCCAGAGGGCTGCTGATGTCGCAGCTGAAGCCGCTGCTGGAGAAGCAGTGGCACACCAGCTTCGAGGAGAACGGCCTGGGGTACCTCACCGCCAAAGGCAGCTTCGTGAAGCTGAAGAAGATGAAGCACCTCGTGCAGGCGGTGATCTCCTGGCGCGGGCAGCGGGTGGCGTGGCGCCTCGAGGACGCCAGGGCACAGACCGCGATCGACGAGGCGCTGGCTCCGAGCCTGGAGCTCGTGGCCTCCACGCGGCACAACGACCTGGTCCTGCGCTGCACCCCCGCGGGCCCGCAGGACTTCCAGGAGCCCGTGCCGGCTCCAGCGGGCGCGCCTGCCGCACCAGGGGCCCAGGTGCAGCAGGCGCGCGCGCCTGCCGCCGCCCGCGGCGCCGTCTGCCACGCCGGCCAGCCTTGCCACACAGGAGTCGAAGAGAAGCACTCGGCATGAGCACACCAACCTCTCAGAGGTCCGCGCGACTTTCTTGGATTGGCGCTGGGCCCCTCTGGCGGCGCCGGGCGCCAGGGTGGGGGGGGGGCAGCGCAGATCCAGTACATGTGCGCGGACATCCGTTAGGATGCACCCCTTCGGAGGTTACACTCAGCATCGGCGTCCATATAACCGTGGTTGGAAACTGGCCTAATCCAGTTTGATCCCGCTTAATCCAGCCTTGGCTTAGTCTGGCCTGATCCGTCTCGATGAACCGGGCTGCATAATTAGTTCTTAATCGTTCTTGCGAGAACTTCCCAGGAGCTCCAGGCCGGACGAAAGGGTAGGTCAGCCAAGGGGGGGGGGGACGAAGTCTGCTGCATACAGCTGGTTTCGGCACAGCCGCCAGGCCCATTCCTCGGTACATGGGCGCCTCCCGGCGCCAGGAGGCTCCAGGAGAACCAGCCACGTGAGCTGACCCTCTACCCGACCCTGTGCTGCCCTACCTTTTACGTCCCTCCCACGAGTTGCCCACCAGACGCCCAGGACCAGAGAGTCTCTGCCCGTGCCGTCTCCTCGTTCTCCCAAGGAGGCGAGGCGCCGCGGCAGCCCTGCCGCCCGCGCAGCGGGCGGGAGGCCCAGAAGGACGCCCTGGAGCAGGAGGTGCCGTGGGCGAAGCACCCGCATCCGCACCCGCGGCCTCGCAGGCCGGGCCCCCCGGGGCCGCGCCCCTGCGGGCGTGGGGCACTTCTCCGCGGACGCCCCGCGCGGGGCGCATTTGTGCGACGGCACATCCGCGGGATCGCGCCCTGAAAGGCGCACGGCGAGGGCGCGGATGCGGATATGTTTGCCGCTCGTGGCCTAGCCCCGTCCCCCCCCTGGCCATGGTATCTCGGCCCCGGCATCCGTCCCCCCCCCCCCCGGTGAGGGATGGGCCCCTTCGAAACTCGAAGGGAACGGCCGATCTGTTACTAGCTAGGCCTCCCGAATGGGGTCCGAGCAGATGGGGTCGACGGATCGCTCCGAATCGCCGATGCATCGACGATGCGGCTCGATGTGGAGCCAGAGTTTCCCCACGCCGATGACGCCGATGCATCGCCGACGTCTCCGATGGATCGCCAATGCATCGCCAATCCGTCGCCGATGTATTGGCCATGCATTGGCGATGCGGCGCTATGCGCTATCCTTCGACGCCCACCTGCTCGAACCCAGCTTGGGAGGCCTGTGATGTCTGCCGCTCCAACAGCATAACATCAACTTTCCCGCCTTCGGAGATGCCTGCCCCCTGGGCGGCTGGAAAGTTAATACCCTTACTTGGCACAGTAGGGGTCCAGTCAACCCGCGCAGTAAGGATGGGCAACCTTCCCAAGCCTACCCTTGCCTCCTTGCCCCTTCGGCCCGTCCTTGGCGACCTTCGCTGGCCCGCCTCGTCCGAAAGCCGCTGACAGGGGCCGCCAAGGCCCTTGCATCCCTGCCGCGCATCCTCGTGACAGAGGCTGACTGTATGAACCTTGCCGGCCAGCGTCCCCGACGGCGGGAAGGTTTCGGTGATGCCGCTCGTCGCCCCCCACCCCTGCAGAGGTGGCGCTGCTGCGGGCGGAGAACGCGGCGCTGCGCGGGGAGCTGCAGGTCCGGGCCGCGACGCCGCAGCGGCCGCTGCCGCGCGGCGCCCTCGGCGAGGCGCCCCCGCCTCGGGGAAGGCAGGGCGGCACTCGGCCCTCGCGCAGAGGTCTAGGCCTGAGGACGACGATCAATGGAGAGGAAACGTGCTGCCAAAACATTTGCCCATGTCTGAACCAGGCTTTGAACATGTCTTAAACCTGTAAAAAGCATGTTTTCAGCATCATTAGAGCATCTTTCGAACATGTTGAACACATGCTTTTAATTCAACAACAGGACTGTTAGGGTGTCCATTGTCATGGCATCCACAAGTCTAGGCCTCCCAACTGGGGTCCGAGTAGACGGGGTCGGAGGATCGCGCCGCATCGCCGATGCATCGACGATGCGGCTCGATGTGGAGTCCGTGTTTCGCCACGCCGACGTCGCCGATGCATCGCCGACGTCGTGGATGCATCGCCGATGCATCACCGATACATCGGCGATGCAGTGGCGTTGCGGCGCGATCCTTCGACCGCTTCTAGTCGGACCCCATCTAGGAGGCCTCTGAGAGGGGGGCTGGGGGGATGGGGGAGCTTCGTGGAGGCGCGGCCTGCTTCTGGGATGGTGCGGGCCTCAACTCTAGATGCAGGGCTGGCTCCTTCTAAGAAGCAGCCTCCTTCTAAGAAACCCTCCCCCTCCCTCCACACCCTTGCACGCGCCGCAAAGGCATGAGTCGCAGGCGAAGTCCGAACCCTACCCTCGCCGATCAACGATTCAGGGAAGTCGATGGTCGGCGGGGGTAGGGTTCGGAATTCGTAGGACACGCGGCGAAGTCCAAACCCTACCCCCGCCTCGATTCAGGGGAATCCATCGTTGGTGGGGGTAGGATTTCGATTTCGCCGACGACTGAGCATGAACTTTCGGAGCTCCGCGTGGACTTCTTGCGCGCCTGAGAGCCTGGCGTGGTAATGTTTTTTTCGCACCGGGCGACGTCGCTCTGCTTCGGGCCCCGGGCTATAACAGATCGATCCGGCCCGAAACATGCAGCACAATGATGGGGTCTAGACTCGGGTCGCGATTTTTCGTGATCCCAGCCCCGATGCAAGAAATTCGCGCGGAGCCCAGGAAGGTTCTGCTCATGCTCGGAGGGTGAATTCATCTATAATCCCGCTTTTCGCTGTACAGGCAAAACCAGGTCGTGCCGCGCGCCTCCTCGTCGAGAAGCCCGTAGCTCGGTCTCGCTTGTTGGTCCCCGCTCGGAGGCGAGGGTGGCCCAACGCGAGGCAGGCTCGTTTGCCCCCGAGATGCCGCTCCTCTCTTCCCCGACCCTCAGCACGACGCGCTCGGCTTCGACGACCCCTTCGAGCCGCCGCCGGAGGCGGGCCGCTGGAAGGGGTACTACCCCTGGGGCGCGGGTGGCTCGCCCGCGCCCAGCTGCAGCACCAGCTGCGGGGGCGGCCGCGACCTCGCCTGGGAGAGCGCCAGCAGCGTCTGCGGCGGCGGCAGCGACTTCGGCGAGTGCGCCGACACGCCCCGGTCCTCGGGGCGCTGCAGGTCGTCGTCTGGGGAAGGGGAGCTGGAGAAGGGGGAGCTGGAGGAGGAGGACGAGGCGAAGGAGGAGGAGGAGAAGGACGAGGAGGAGGAGGGTGTCTTTCCCACTTCTTCTGGCCCTTCTTGAAGCAGCCTCAATCTGCGCTCGCGCTTCGCTGAGTCGGACTCCTCACTTTTGGCATCCGAAGAACGTAACAGCCTCGATGCCTACGTCAGGCGAGCGCAAGCATGGATCAAGGGGGCGTGGATTAGCGACGGGTCCCGTTCCACGGGAAATCGCGGATTTCCGCCGCCGAGCGAGGCGGCACGGGCCGCATTTTGGGTATGGCACGTCCCCCGATCCATGAACTTGGCGACCGCGCGCCAAATCCATGGATCGCTAATCCATGTTTGCGCGCCCCCAAAGAACGTAACAGCCTCGATGCTTATGATGGTCCAACCTAGTTTAGCCTTGACCACCAGAAAGAATGTCGAGCACCAACAAAAATACCGAAACTCGAAGGTTTTCACGAGTCGGGCCCTGGGAGACACTCACCCGACACTGTTTCGACACTCTTTCGACACTTTTCCGGGTGCTCGAAATTAATTCTGGGATGTGGTCCTTACGTAGGATGGGAACAACATAACTAACGGCAAAAACTGTGGTCTCACCCCTTCCCCCCCGCCCATTCGGGAACAGGTTTACCCCTGTGGACTGGGGGGGCCCCGCGCCTCCCGCCCACGGCGCGCCCGGCGCGCGCGGCGGCTCGGCGGTGCCAATCGGAAACGCCCGACGACGCTGCAAGAGAGAGGAGGAGGAGGAGGAGGAGGAGGAAGAGGAGGAGGAAGAGGAGGAGGAGGAGGACCAGTGTAAACCCAAGAGTCATCATCGATGTTGGAATAAACCCTCCCTCCGAGCTCCCTTCATTGGCCCCCTACAAGGGTTTATTTCCACTGAGGGAACTGCCTCGTTGGAAGACAGAACACCCTGAACAAAACCAAAACATGTTCTCGGGATTCTAACGCCACGGATCAACCTGACTGCTGCATATTGATGATCCTGAGCCGTGCCCGAACGCCATGCCTGGGACTTCGACTCGGCGAATCAACGTAACTGTTGCACCGTCATAATCTTGAGCCCTTCCAACACATCATGTCTGGTACGCTGAACATGGGAACCCGTGAATCTCTTGCACTCAAATCACGAATGTGTGCGGCACGAATTCGAGAGCCACATTTTGAAAAGGAACTGCCTTCAATCCGAGAAGCTCTTGCAAATGTTAGAAAAGATTGTTCGCGGCGTTGAGGCGAGAACCACATTTTGAAAACCATTCGCCCTCAGTCCGTGAAACTCTTGCAAATGTAAAAAACGAATGTGCGCGGCGCTAAGGCGAGAGCCACATTTTGAAAACCATTCGCCCTAAGTCCGTGCAACTCTTGCAACTGTTAGAACGAATATGTGCGGCGCTAAGGCGAGAGTCACATTTTGAAAACGACCTGCCCCTCATCTGTGAACCTGTTGCCAACATTTAAGTTTCAAATTTTGAAGCCGAATGTTGGCGGCGCTGAGGCGAGAGCCGCATTCTGAAAACCACCCGCCCCCAATCCGTGAAACCCTGACACATGTTTAGAACGAATGTGCGCGGAGCTAGTGCGAGAGCCACAGTTTGAAAACCACCCGCCCTCCCTGTGTGAAACTGTTGCCACTCTTCAAGCTTCAAACTCATAAGTGGTGAGGAAGTCTCAGGCGACACGCCCGGCCCGCGCTAAAAACTAGCCTCGGGGTGCGACAGGGAGAAGGCATTTATATGTAAATGAATGGAGGAGGAAGAGGAGGAGGAAAGGGAGGAATATTGCAACGTGGTGCGAAAGCATTTGGGCAGACGTAGCCCTGTCAAGGTGCTCGTGAAGGTTGGGATGACAAGATGACATGCAGGGGCTGGTGTTGGCACCTGGTGTTGGTGGATGGTGTGCGTGGTCAGCGAACCCCGAGACAGCAACTTCTGTTCGACAAGGATCATGAAGCGTGTCTGACCACTTTATCAGAGGATGGGCCGGCATCTCCCTTGCTAGCGTCAGACGCTGGCTCCCTAACCTTGTAGGGGGGCCTGGGGCAGGTCACCGGGGGCCGCGAAGCAGGACGGCTTGCTACCTGGGTTGGGGCATGTGCGCCTGCAACACTGCAGGGACGATCGCCATCCTGGTGGTGACGGGGGGGATCCGCGCCGCATCGGGGCAGCACGTGGACCTGCTCTGCAGAGGGCCGGGACGCCACCTTAGGTATGACAGGGGAGCATCTGTGCCATCGCAGGTCGGATCGCCACCCCAGGGGTGACACGGGTAGGCAGTTCTCAGGCAGAAGCCAGGTCGCCCCCCGAAGGGTGGACGTGGCGGACCCCCTTCACAGGATGCTTCGCCCCAGTTGCAACGCGGGAGACTGGCCACCAGCGGGCCTGGACAATTTCTGAACATACCGCCCCCTGGGCGTAAATGTTCAGAAACTTTCCGGGACCACCCCGCGTCCTTCCCCAGTGCGGTGAGCCTCTGCTCGGGGCAACGCTGGCGGTCGTGGGCGGCCGGTGACCTCAGACGGGCGTTCGGGGCCCAAAGTCACCGAGGGCTCGCTGGGCGGCCGCGGGGATTTCCGTTGGACCTTGCCCTGCAGGACAGAAGCTCCAGCGTCTTACCTCGTAGGGGGGAAGGCCTGCTGGCATTTCCGCTGGGTTGTGTCCTGGACGTCAGTGCCTCCGACCGGGCGTGCAGGCCCGCCGGCTCAGTGTCCTGGAGGGCGGAATCACCGACATGTCCAGTAGAACCAACCCCAGATTTGCCGCCGGCCTATTCGCGCATGCCTCCTGGGGGCAGGTGCACAGGACCGCCGGAATTGCCGCCGGGCCGTGCATTGCCACCAGGCTGCGTCCTGGAGGCCAGAACCTTCGACGTGTTGTTTGAACGTGTCTTCGGATGATCGCTGGAATTATGTTATGTTTCCTGTTTTTGAGGACCTCAGTGCCGAGGTAGACCAGAGTCCTCTACGCGAGGGCGCGCAGGACCGCCGGCCTTGCCGTCGGGCTGCGTCCTTGAGGCAACCGCCTCGCGACGGGGGTGGGCGCGCATAGTCTGCGGACGCACGGTGGCTGGCATTGCCGCCGGCCTGCGTCCAAAAGAGGGCGAACCTTGGTAGCGGTTCGACGTGAGAACGCGCAGGATCGCCGGCTTTTCCGACGGGCTGCGTCCTTGAGGGGAACCGCCTCGCAATTGGGGCGAGCGCGCATGTTCAGTGGGTGCACAAAATCTGGCACTGCCGCCAGCCAGTGACCAAAACGAGACAACCTTGGTTATCGGTGAAACGTGGGGATGTGCAGCACCGCCGACCTTGCCGCCAGGCTGTGTCCTTGAGGCAACAGCTTCGCAAGGGGGGTGGCGCGCGTGATCGGCCGACGCGCGATGGATGGCTTTGCCGCCGGCCGGCGCTCAAAAGGGGGCGAACTTTCGTAGCGGTTCGACGCGGTGGCGTGCGGGGCCGCCAGCCTTCCCTCTGGGCAACGTCTCTGAGGCGTCTGCTTCGCGACGGTGGTAAGCGCGCAGTATCGGCGAACGCTCGCAAAGTGGCATTGCCGCCAGGCCGACCCCGCCCGCAGGAAACGACGTTGGGGAACCAGGGGTACTTGAGCGCGCAAGACGGCCAGCCTAGTAGCCGGGCTGTGTCTTTGAGGAGATTGCTTCGCGACGATGGCAAAATCACGGCGATTGCTTCGCGACGATAGCCGCCGCTTTGCGTCCTTAAGGCAACTGCCCCGCGACAGGGGCGAGTGCGCGGAGACCGCGGGCGCGCGAAAGCCAGCGCCGCCGGCAGCCAGCTCCCAAAAGAAACGAAACGCGGTGATTTGAGAGACAAGGGAACGCGCGGGGCAGCTGGCCTCGCCGCGGGGCAACGCCCTTGAGGCGACAGCCTCGCGACGGGCGTGGGCGCGCATAATCGGCGAACTCACGATGGCCGCCATTGCCGCCGGCCCGCGTCCGAAATGGGGCGAACCCTGGTAGCGGCTCGACGTGAGAAGGTTCAGGACCGCTGGCCTTGCCGTCGGGCCGCGTCCTTGGCCCCGCGACATCAGGCACCGCGGCCAGCCAGTGTCCACAGAGAAGCATGCCTGGGTTATCGGTGCCATGAGAGAATGCACAGGGCCGCCGGCCTTGCCGCCTGGCAACGTCCTTGAGGCAACTGCCTCGCCATGGGGGTGGGCGCGCGTAAGCTGCGGACGCGCGATGGCTGGCTTTCCCGCCAGCCTGCGTCTCAAAGAGGACGACGCTTCGTAGCGGTTCGCCGTGAGAGTGCGCAGGGCCGCTGGCCTTGCCGCCGGGCAGCGTCCCTAAGGCATTTGCCTTGCGACGGGGGAAGGCGCGCATAATCAGCAAATGCATGCAAACTGGCACTGCCGCCAGGCAGCGCCCACAGGAAACGAAATGGGGTAACCAGGGGGACGTGACTGTGCAGGGCCGACGGCCCTATCGCCGGGCTGATTGTTGAGGCGACTGCCTCGCGACGACGGCAAACCCGCAGAATCCGCATATGCACGATAGCTGGCGCTGCCGCCTTCGCATCGGGCAGCAGATGCAGGCGCCCTTACTTGTCCATCGACGCGGATGGGCACTCCGTGCCCATGCGGCCCTATTTCCTTGGGGAGAGCCGTGGCTGCCTTGAAAGTGAGGTCATGAGGTCCTAGCCCATTGTCGCCTGGCCATTCACTGGGCAAGGGGCTACTCACGGGTGCTTTTCGAGTTCAGGGAACTCCTATCATTGGCGCCCCGTGCGTCCTTTGTGCTTATCCCCCTACCCAACATCGAATGGCGTCGGCCCGGGGGGGGGGGGGAGGAGGAGGAGGAGGAGGAGGAGGAGGGGGAGGAGGAGGAGGAGGAGGAGGAGGAGGAGGAGGAAGGAGGAGGAGGAGGAGGAGGAGGAGGAGGAGGAGGAGCGGAGGCGGAGGCGGAGGCGGAGGCGGAGGAGGAGGAGGAGGAGGAGGAGGAGGAGGAGGAGGAGGAGGAGTCGAGGAGGAGGAGGAGAGGAGGAGGAGGGAGGAGGAGGAGAGGAGAGGAGGAGGGAGGAGGAGGAGGAGGAGGAGGAGGAGGAGGCGGAGGAGGAGGAGGAGGAGGGTGAGGGTGAGGAGGAGGAGGAGGAGGAGGAGGAGGAGGAGGAGGAGGAGGAGGAGGAGGAGACGGAGGAGGTAGGAGGAGAGGAGGAGGAGGAGGAGGAGGAGGAGGAGGAGGAGGAGGAGGAGGAGGAGCGGCGGCGGAGGAGGCGGAGGAGTCGCAGGACGAGAGGAGGAGGAGGCGGAGGAGGAGGAGGACGAGGAGGAGGAGGAGGAGGAGGAGGAGAAAGCACATAATACTAACACTCATAATATGAAGCATCATAATAATAACAATAACAATGATAATACTATTACTGATAATAATAATACTAATAATAATAATACTAATATTATTAATATTATTATTGATAATAATAATACTACTAATAATAGTAATACTAATAATGATAACGATAATAATAGTAATAATAATACTAATACTACTAATAATAATAATAGTAATAATTGCAATAATAACAATAATATTACGAAGAAGAAGAAGAATAAGACGACGAAGAAGAAGAAAAAGGGGAGGAGGAGGAGGAAGAGGGGGAGGAGGAGGAGGAGGAGCAGGAGGAGGAGGTGGCGGAGGAGGAGGAGGAGGAGGAGGAGGAGGAGGAGGAGGAGGAGGGGGGGGAGGAGGAGGAGAGACACCGGTTTTTTGCTGCTTCTGCTGGAGAGCTCCAGGCACCCGTGCGGGCCTCACTGCGAAGTGTAGGCCACAACCCGCCCTGCAAGAGTCTTCGGGTCAGCACGCTCTCGGGCGGGTGGTACTGCACATAGGGCTCGACGACTTCTCGCCAATCGACTTGTGGGGGTGAAGCCAAATGCATTCAGGTAAATGCAGCTGATTCGAAGGAAAGTCGAATACATCCTGGTACAGCCAGATCAATCCAGAGATCTCCAGGGATAGTTGGAGCACATCGTGGCCGCTCCGGCGGGAGTCGAAGGACGGCAGAAGTCGTTGAGCCCTCAACGAACTAGGGGATGACCCACAGGGGTCCTAAGGGCCCCTCAAGGGGCCCTAAGGGCCCCTACAGAGGCCCTAAAGGCTCCTTTCTAAAGGAGCCCTGAGGGCCCTGATGGGGTCCTTTAAGGACCCTCTTGGAGCCAGCAGGGGCCTGACAGGGGCTCTAGAAGGGCCCCTTGCGGGCCCTTTCCTTCGCCCCCCCCCTGTGGGTTACCCCCAATTGCCACCCACCCGCGAATGCGCCTGCGCCCCCGTGTCTTCGCGTCGCCGCAGGTTGTTGGCAGGGCCAGTTGAGGCAGCGGCGCTTGGCTTTCGAGGGGGCCCCTCGTCGCCACGGCTGGACGTGGCTAGGGGAACTTGTGGTGTTGGACCCGGGAGGGCTCCAGGGACATATTTTGTTCTGCATGAACATACATTTTCTGTTATCCGCGCAGATTTCTTGGATCCGCGCTTGGGCCTCCCGCCTGGCAGCCCCACCTGCGCAGAGGGGGGGGGGGCAGCGCCGAGTCCAGAAATCCCGCGCAGAGCTCCCAATGTTGACGCTCGTGCCGTTTTTTGTGTCTTCAAGGCCAACTTTCTGCTGCACTTTGTGCTTCCTAGGAATCCCCAAGAATACTCTGAAGCTGGGCAAGGGCTGGCAACTCCGTGGCTGCTAAAATGGTCTTCCCGGAAGAAAACAAATTACTCCCGGAACGAAGGTCAGCGCGCTAAGTAGGGCACATGCTGCTTCCCGGAAGAAAGCATCAGTTTCCCGGAGCTCCGTTTTAGCAGCCACGGGTTTGCCAGCCTGCGCCCGGCTTCTGAACTACGCAGGGGTGTTCGTCTTCACTTGCCGACCTCCTGCTCCTCGATCCGCCTCTTCACCTCTACCGCTACGAGGGTGCGCTGCTGGGGTAGCTCGCTCCTCCGAGGTCGGACTTCCTGGCCTCCGCGGTTCCCTCGGGCGCTATGACGCCGCAGGAGGGCTGCGGGAGCGTGGAGGATCCCAGGCGGGAATTCATCCATAATCACCGCCTGGGGGATCGATCTTCGCGGACCTCCACAGGCGGTGGACATGGATATGTTCGGGCCCCTGGGGACCAGAATGTATCCATATCCACCGCCCGCTGGGGCACCAGGACGTCGGGTCCCAGGCGGTGGATATGGATAAATCCCCGCCTCGCAGAGGAGGCGCCCGCCGGGTTCCTGCCAGTGGCCATGTGGTGGACTATGGTGCCCCCCACCGCTCGTGGTGCCTTGCTGCAGATCCCCTGCGGCATCGTGCAGAGCATGCGCGCGCACTTTGAGCCGGGAGCGGGGGCGCAGTAGGGTGCTGCTGGCGAGTAGGGGCGCGACGACGAGGGGGGGGAGAGGGAGAGGGAGGGAGAATGGGGGAGGGGGAGGGGAGGAGGAGGGGGAGGGGGAGGGGAGGGGGGGGGGGAGGAGGAGGAGGGGAGGAGGAGGAGGAGGAGGAGGAGGAGGAGGAGGAGGAGGAGGAGGAGGAGGAGGAGGAGGAGGAGGAGGAGGAGGAGGAGGAGGAGGAGGAGGAGGAGGAGGAGGAGGAGGAGGAGGAGGAGGAGGAGGAGGAGGAGGAGGAGGAGGAGGAGGAGGAGGAGGAGGAGGAGGAGGAGGAGGAGGAGGAGGAGGAGGAGGGGGAGGAGGAGGAGGAGGAGGAGGAGGAGGAGGCGGAGGCGGAGGCGGAGGCGGAGGAGGAGGAGGAGGAGGAGGAGGAGGAGGAGGAGGGAAGGAGGAGGCGGAGGAGGAGACGGAGGCGGAGGCGGAGGCGGAGGAGGAGGAGGGAGAGGAGGAGGAGGAGGAGGAGGAGGAGGAGGACCAGTGTAAACCCAAGAGTCATCACCGATGTTGGAATATGCCCTCACTCCAAGCTCTAGGCCCCATACAAGGGTTCATTTCCACTGAGGGAACTGCCTCGTTGGAAGACAACCGTTTGAAGACCCTGATGCATGCCAGAACATCGTTCTCGTGATTCGAACGCCACGGATATCCCTGACTCTTGCGTCTTGACGATCCTGAATCGTGCCAGAACGTCATTCCGGGGACATCAACACCGCGAATCAACGTGATTGTTGCACCCTCAATTCTGAATCCTTGCACACGCCAATCTGGTACGCTGATCATGTGAATCCGAAAATGCGTGGCGCTAAGGCGCGAGCCACGTTTTGAGAAGGAGCCCCCCTCTACCCGTGACATCCTGATAATGTTTTCAAACGAATGTGCGCGGCGCTAAGGCGAGCGCCACATTTTGAAAAGGAGCCGACCTCTATCCGTGAAGCTCTTGCACATGTTTAGAACGAATGTGCGCAGCGTTGAGGCGAGAGCCTCAGTTTGAAAACCAGTCGCGCTCAATCCGTGAAGCTCTTGCACATTTAAAAAGGAATGTGTGCGGCGCTGAGGCGCGAGCCACATTTTGACAACGACGAAGCGGAGGAGTTGGAGGAGGAGAAGGTGGAGGAGGAGGCGGAGGCGGAGGCGGATACGGAGGAGGTGGCGGAGGAGGAGGAGGAGGCGGAGGAGGAGGAGGTGGAGACGGAGGAGGTGGCGGAGGAGGAGGAGGCGGAGGAGGAGCAGGAGGAGGAGGAGGAGGAGGTGGACCAATGTAAACCCAGCAGTCATGAACAATGCTGGAATAAACCCTTCCCCCGAGCTCCTTCGTCATAGGCCCCTACAACGGTTCATTTCCATTGAGGGAACTGCCTCGTTGGAAGACGACCGTTTGAAGACCTTGAAGCATGCCAAAACATTGTTCTCGGGATTTCAACGCCACGGATCAACCTGACTCTCGCGTCTTGACGATCTTGAATCGTGTCGGAACGTCATTCTTGAGAGGTCAACACCGCGAATCAGCGTGATTGTTGCACCCTCAGAATTCCGAATCTTTCCCGAACACCACTTCTGATAGGTTGATCATTGGAATCCGTGAAACTCTTTGCAACTGTTGAAAACGAATGTGCGCGGCGCTAAGGCGAGAGCCACATTTTGAGAAGGAGCCGCCCTCTATCCGTGAAATTCTGACTCATTCTTAAAATCGAGTGTGCGCGGCGCTGAGGCGAGAGCCACATTTTGAAAACGACCCGCCCTCAATCCGTGGAACTCTTGCTAATGTTGAAAACGAATTTTCGCGGCGCTGAGGCGAGAGCCACATTTTGAAAACCACCCGCCCTCAACCCGTGAAATCCTTACGCATGTTTAGATCCAATGTGCGCGGAGCTAGTGCGAGAGCCACATTTTGAAAACCACCCGCCCTCCCTCTGTGAAACTGTTGCCACTCTTACAGCTTCGGGGTCATAAATGGTGAGGAAGTCTCAGGCGACACGCCCGGCCCGCCCTAAAACTGGGCTCTGGGTGCGACAGGGAGAAGTTGTTTATAAGGAGAAGGAGGAGGCGGAGGAGGAGGCGGCAGAGGAGGAGGAGGAGGAAGAGGAGAAGGAGGAGGAGGAGGCGGCGGAGGAGGAGGAGGAGGAGAAGGAGGAGGAGGAGGAGGAGGAGGCGGAGGAGCAGGAGGAGGAGGAGGAGGAGGAGGGGAGGAGTGGGAGGAGGAGGAGAAGGGGGAGGATAGGACGGAAGAAGGAATGCATGAGGAGGGAGGGGGGCGAAAGCAGAACAGCCACCACTGCGGGAGCTCTGGTCCCCACCCACATGTGTGACCACTATGTTCCGACACCCCCCTCGAGAGATCGTCGATAGGCTGGGGCCCCCCAGGAGGGGTAAGATACACAGCGCTCTCCTAGTTCTGGCGGTTCGGGAAGGAGGCGGAGTAGGATCGGAGGGGAAAGAAGAATGATAGAAGGGAGGAGAGATGAGGATGAGGATAGGAGGGATGAGAAAGGAGGAGAGGGGAAGGAGGAGGAAATGAATCAAGACAGCAAGGAGGACGTGAGGAAGTGAGAAGAGGAGGATCGGAGGGACGAGAAGAGGAGGAGAGGAGGGATGAGGGACGGGGAGGATGATGATACGAATCCAGATAGGAAGGGGGGCGTGAGGACGTGATGGAAGGAAGGGGAGCGGGAGGAGCGCAGCTCCGTGGTCTCAGCGAGCTGTCTGCGCGCGGCACGGCCGCCGGCATAACGTCGCTCGTCCTCGCGGCTGTGTTCCAATTCTTCGGGCGCCGCGGCGGGCGTTTGGCACTGTGAGCTGATGCGGATGCGTCGGCCCAAATCGGCTTCGGCTAGGACGAGGATAAATCCGTTCCAGAGCGTTTCAGAACGCTCTCAGGGCGTTCTGCAGCGCTCCGGGAAGGCCGCGCTCGGAGATTCTCGATTGATCTTCACCCGATGTTATCCTCGTCCTGGCTTTGTCTTGCCCAACCTGCGGCACCTACAAGGCGCGCAGTGCGGGTCGCAGTCACAATCTCAATCGCAGTGCTCTCATCCTGTCGTTCGTTCATCTAGGGGATCGTAAGCAGGGCTCGGCCGTGCAGTCCAATGTACGACCGTGTTTAAATTGTTTTGCGGTGCCAGGGAGCCAAGCCACAGATCATGTAGTTTTCGTGATCTTGAAATCCGAGCAGTTTTTCAGTCTCCTGTTGCGTGGGCCACCTTCTGTACAGTGCATGACACATACCCTCACCAACTTGAGCGTTCTCAGAGCGTCTGCCCACTGTCGGCGGGCGCATATTGAGCAATCATTTTGGCCTCATGGGCGGCGCTTGTGCCGCTTGCGCGCTGCGCCAGCCTAGTGCCAGCTGAGTGCTCGGCCGCGCAGTGCGTGGGGAGAGGTCGGCTTCGTAGTTTCGGAAAGCTCTGTGAGCAGCCAGGGGAGGAACACACATCAGCAGCGCTCCAGCTCGCCTCCCTCGCAGCGTCAGCACGGGTATACTGTCTCTTCTTGTAGCCGGGGCCCGGCTCCAACGCCCCGTGGATGCTCTCGAGTACGCTTACACTTGCTCTTGATGCTTCGAGCTCGGGATGGGGTGTAAGATCCACAACTTCAACGTGGCCGAACGGAGGAGTTGGGTCGGGGGATGGGGGGGTAAGAGGAGAAAGTGTG